ACTTGGCAGCCACTGAAACGTCACATGATTCCCTTTCTCTTGTGAAGTGTGGGGAAGGCATCTAATTTCGAAAACAAGCTGTTCGTACGGCCCGCGATGCAGTGCTGAGAGCACAGATTGTAAGCTTGTATTATAAGCATTGGTGGTGGCTGCGGCGGTGACGTAGTTCACAAAAATCCGGAGCTATAGGGAGTGCACAGAATTGCGGGTGGTCGCGAATAAGGCTTTCGAAGGTGCGCCTGTTGCTTCTCATTGTAGCCTTTCATTGTTTCTCCTATGATTGTCGTTGCTGCCCTAACAAAAGTGTTGTGCTGGTAAGCACGTGCGTGAAGTTCCAGTTCTCGGCAGGGCGGAAGGAAAACGTTAGGAGGGAGCATCGCACAATGAGATAGATAGATAGATAGATAGATAGATAGATAGATAGATAGATAGATAGATAGATAGATAGATAGATAGATAGATAGATAGATAGATAGATATTGAAATAATTGTCCAGGCACGCACCCTCCAACCTTCGCTTGTCCCCACTTTCGCGTTTGGGTAAACGCTACTACTTTTTTTTTTTTAACTGGAATTTGGTTCATTTCTCAACTTTGCCAAAAAAGGCGTGAGACACGATGCTTTACATCGTTACCGAACGGCTATTCGTCGATATGACGTACGATAACACTGCTGCATCCAATTGACGCAGAGGTGTAGTGCGGAACAAAGGAGTGTCATGAGAGATATGCCAATTGAATATGACGCACGATAACACTGCGACACCCAAGTAGCTCTCATGCGATTGACGCAGGGTTAGTGTGCGGAACGAAGCAGTGTCAAGAAATACAGGGCTCGGAGGACACGCTGTTTCGCGAGGCCCTGTGCGGCACGTGATCGAGGCGGCTGTGCTCCTCCATTAGAAAAGGGCCGCGGCAGCGTGAGTGGCGGCGTTTGGCGTCGGCCATAAATCCTGGAGCGTCGAGAGCGCGGATTTGCCGCCTCCATCTGCCGCCGCTGGAGCTGCGGTCAAACGGGTTGACGCCGTCGGCCCCCAAACGGGGGCCATCGGACCCGCTTGCCTGCTGCTGCTCAGGGAAAAGAAAGAGAGAAAGCACACGCACACACACAAAAAGGCCAGCTTCAATTTATGGCTGCCTGCAGCTCGAGCCGTTCGGATGAGGCTGGGCACGCGGAAGCGCTCTCTTGTTCTCCCGAGTTCTCTCAGCATGCGCCCTCGTAATTCTTCACTTTCCGGTGAAAACAAGCCAGCCAGAGAGCTGCCGAGCTTACGTTTTAGCTGAGCCACCGCCTGAACCTCTCCTCCTCTAGTGAAAAGAATAATGAAATGAATAAACGTTTGTTAGCGAGGAAAGGAACTGTACGTCTCAGAAACGCGTTACGTTGAAAAAAAAATAATAAACGTCACTTTTTAAGTGTCTGCGTACTTTCAGTGTTCAGATCACCTGAGTTTAACAAACCTGCCAAGTTAATTAGAGGCCCGGAACACTCCTGGTCTTGTACTTTGCATAAGCAGGTTATACGTGTGGTTAGAACAGGTGCTGTTTTCAGGTTATTGTTCTGTTTATCTCTTTGCGTCGAGGGTCGTTTTCTTTATAGATGGAAGGGAGATGTCGATGTCTACGCGCCTGTGGCGGCGTCGACTTCTGAGTTTATTCCTTTAACACCAGGGTTTCATAGGTGTCCTCTTCAATGATGAACGGCTTCACTAGAAGCCAGTGCTGTGATTCTACAAACAACATCACAGTGTCCCTTCGCAGGAGTTTATGGCGTTATCCGAAGTCACAACGGCAATATTCGTTGTTTTATTCGTCCCTTGCACTGTGCGACAGAAAGTCGTATACGTTGATTGGAAGATGCAAAGGTATGCAAATTTATGCGAGCGAAGTCACTCAAGGACCATGCTCGTTCACACCCGATAAGTGATGTATTGTTATAGCCGATCACGGCGTTTCGGTTATATGCTCGTGTGGCGCGGCTAGAGAAACAATTAAGGCACGCCGCTCGGAACTGCGAACGTTTTACTGGCGTCGTATCTAACCCTGCTGTGAACTTCGCGGAATTCTTAGCACGTTTATTGCTATGCTGGCCGACAGGTGCGTGCAAAGCTGTAACGGGGCCAGCGACTCCGACAGCGTGCACAATAGTTACTCGCTTCAGTTTGCATTGCTATGTAATGTTAGTTTGGCTCTTACACATGGTTTCATTTTGTGGTGTGCACGTTTACGCATGGATTTATTTTTTGACGCATTCGCGACTCGTGCTATGTAGAGGGAGAGATAAATTGTCGACGTATAAAAGTCTTCGCTGGTATTTGATTCCTTGCTTCGTTCTTGCAATATCTTAGTCCACGCAGCTCGTACGCAGTCATATTGCCCTACTAGTGTCGTACTGCCGTACGTGCTTTGCGAAATTGTTAAGGCCGTTAGAGTTGCATACTCCACTGAAAGTGCACATTAACCTATTTCACAGAGATTGAGTTGTATGTTTTGGTTACGCTCCAAGACTTCGCGTTCAAATATGGGCGAGCTCATATCACCACGTGTACTCCATTTTCGCCTCTATGTATTTCCTTTAGGTCCCTCTTCCTTTTCAGCTTTAAACATTGAGTCGTACTTATTAATAATGGACCTTGTGTGAGTGTCAGAGTGTGGCAGCCTCAGGATTTATGAGTAAGTAAATGACCTTTTTATTAACGTTCAAACTTGTTACATACAGCCTGGTAAACTACGAAGAAACTTCTAAGGGGCTCTTTTCCTCATTTTGTTCGGGGGGGGAGGAAATTTGGTGGTGGATTCTTGACGATTTTTTTCTTATTTAATATGCTGTAACAAGTTTTAAAATGCAACACCGGCTTACCCAATCAACGCTATTTGGCTGTATACGAAGGCTC